GTAAGCTCTGGGAGTTGGTGATGTACAGGGAGGCCTGGCATGCTGCAGTCCATGGGGTCACAAAGAGTTAGGCACGACTGAGCGACTGGACTTAACTGAAACCAGAAATTATCTTTCAGAAAAATCTCAGTACCCATTTTGGGCTTGGGGCTATCCACCAAGCATGGCCACTCCTCTCGCACCCCAGCTGGGGGCGCTGCACCTGGGCCGGGTCTGCTGGGAAAACATCTGCCAAGTTCAAGACACAGAATGATGCTAACACACTGTCCACGAACCTCACTTCCTGGAATTCTACATTGAAGACAAGACAATTCTACATCAAGACCCCTCGGAAAAGCAGCTTTCTGCCCAAAGGTATTCACCACATTGTTACTGTGAGAACCTGGACACAATTCAGACAGGGTGGAGACTGATCCACGGGGTCCCTTCTCAGAGCATGTCCGTCAGGCGGGGTGCTGTGTGAGAGCCTGTTAGCACAGGGGACACGCAGAACCAGGAAAGAGTGCTATCCCGACCTGCTCTATGGACCTCTCACCCACCCGAGCTCTAACCTTTGAAGTCAAGTGTAACTGTGTAGCAACGTGGAAAATGCACAGCAAGTTATGAGTCAGCTGAGGGGTCCTCTGAGCCTCTGCATCCCGCCCACCATGCCCAGGTTAAGAACAGCCTCTGACTTGCCTGCCTGGCCCCCTCCAGGCAACTCCATGTGGCACACTGTCAGGGTGCCCACCCTCTCCCGAGCTGGAGGCCCACAGAGGGCCAGGCCTCATCTTCGGACCATGAGCCCTCACTGCCCAGCGCCAGCCCTGGCTAAATGAATGCTGTAACCTTCTGAGATGTGTGCTCTGTTACAAACGACACGTGTGTAACACTGGTCTACTATGTATACAATATAAAACATTAGATTTCTTCTGCTCCCATGAAACACACTTCAGACCCAGATCCAGGTCTGTTCATACAGTTGGCCATGGGGGATATGGGTATTGATCTGGTCCTCGCTTCCTCCTCAGAGTAAGAACTCTCTGGCTCTCCCCAGATAGATGGCCATGATGAGGCCCGGCAGCTGGGGTAACGACGTTGTGACAGAAAGGGAAGGGATCCAAACAAACCTGCAGGCCTGGAAAAGCACATGCTTAGAAAAAACACTCAGAGGACACACCCACACAGGAACAACAGCAGTCTAAGGAGATTATGGAGTGTGTCCATCTTCTTTTCGCACTTTCTACACGATCAGGAGTAGACAGGCATTATCTTACAATGAGAAAACCAGCAGAGTTTCTTATGTGCCACTCTTACCACCTAGATGTGGAGAAGCGGGCCACAGGGGCACTGGCCCGATGGGCTAGTCACTGAGTCGCCAGCAGGCCACAGGAGGAGGCCCATGGGCACACCGCCTGCTGACTCTGACTTTCTGAAAGGGCACGGCTGCCAGTCATCAGTCAGAGGGACAGGAGAAAGAACCTGAACTGGACAGGCCGCAGCCTACGAGAAACCTCAGCACCACGACCATGGTGCCCACGTCCACCCCGAGACTCCAGCCTATCAGACGTGTGCCTGGGCTCTGGGCAGCCAGCAGCTCAGGGAGCAGAGAAAGGGCAGCTACAAAGTTGGAAACGGCCTTCACTACCAACAAAATCTAACCTCTAGGAATCAGATGGTGTAGACTTAAAGCCTCAAGATATGGCACATTTCCATGTTTCTGGAAAAGCCCACAAAACGTAGTTCCAAAGGCTAAGTGTCAAGAAAATGAAAAGAGGGCTAGTGCCCCAGCCTGAAACAACCACCGATGGAGACAGCACACCACACCAGCTGAGGGCCCAGCCTGGATCTCCGCTGCATCTCACGAGGCCAGTCAAGGTGAGCCCTTCACGCTGCATTCCAAGCTGGCGTGTTCAAGGCAGATCCCCAGGACCCAGGGGAGGCCCTCACCTCACACTTGGCATCAGGCAGGTGCTCAGAAAGGATCACCCGTGACAGTGAGGGTACGAGACACAGAGAGGAAGGCACCAGAATGGTGACACCATGTAACACTAGTTTGCCCAAACCTCATCCAGGGCTTGAGAAACTCTGGGAAAACAAACTCACTCAGTATTTTACCCTTAATTTCTACCTTTAGGCCCCAGAGCTGAGGCAGTGTGGGCTGTGGGTCGACCAACTTGTTGGCGGTGTGTGGAGGCACCGATTTGGTGGGGGGACATGCAGGCCTCAGCTTGGGGGCTTTGAATGCAAGCGTCCCAGGACAGCTGGGGGCCCTGGGTACTCAACAGGCAGGCCCAGGGGCACTGGGGACCAGCGGGAGTGTCACTCTGAAACACGCTGACTACCTCCCTGCACCAAAGCTAGTCCTCCCTCAGGACAGAGGGTGAGGGGAGAATGGGCCCAGAGCTCAACACGGTGATCCCGCGAGCATTGGCAGGGTGGCCGTAAGGTATATTAGGCCCAAGTGAGGGGGCCACTTCCAGGGCTGCCGGCCACCCCGGTCAGAGCCACCCAGGGAAAAGAGGAGAGGAGTTCTCTGCGGTGGGCCCGGGTGCCAAGGCAGCGGACTGAGCGCACTTCTTCGTAGGCTGCAGCGAAATCTGTTTCCAGCATAGCCCACACCAGCTGAAGGTTGTCCAGAAGAGCTAGCAATCAGCCCCAAAGCAAGCCTCACTTCCATCCCCACTGAGTCAGAGACCTCCAAACACTGCAACCTACAACTGATTGGACAGCCAACTCTCTGCTTGCCACGGTCCGGGTCCCACGGATTTCAGGGAGGATGGCGGGGAACTGAGAAGCAAAATCCACCCCATTCGGTCCTCTGCTCACCCGCCCGCATCACTGCAACATGGAGGATGGCTCCCAGCTGGGTGTGCCGGTGGGACCAGGACCAAACCACAGGCCCAGCCAGGGGCCCAGTCCTCCCCGCACCCGGGGCTGCCGCCAGCACACCTCCAGTCCTGCAGGGTGCAGGACTGGGAGAGCCCGACAACCACCCAGGCCTCATGCAAAGCAAACAGTGGCTCCCTTGAGGCCTCTGGGTGAGGGGTGTGGAAAGGGGGGCAGGGTAGCCAGGGCTCCTGGGAGAGGGGAGGACCAGTGCTGGACTGCAGAGGGAGCTGCCCTGAGACCTGGGAGGCAGGGAGAGAGCTGGCTGTACTGGGCGACCAGGAGCACACCCAGCAGGCTGCCCGCGTTTCCCACCTTGGGCTGCGGGGTCCCAAGAGAGGCAGGGCTGGGCCGGGTCGCTGGCCGGGCAGGAGGGCGGCCCCGGACGCAGCAGGAAGGGCGGACGCTGGCTCAGCGGTGGCTCCTCGCTCTGACCCCGCAGGGGCCCAGTGCGGTGCTGGGGACACAGCGAGGCCTCGGGTGCTGTGGGGCAGGGACACACACACACACACACACACACATATACATACACACACACACACACACACACACACACACACACACACACACACAGAGACAGCCTGTTAGAGGGAAAAGCAAGGCCGGGCCCCACAAACAGACTCTGAACATGCAGCTTAAGCTCGGGCTCTCAGAGGTGGGCCAACTCAGGGCCACTGGGCAGGGAGGCAAAGGCTGAGGCCATGGGACCAGACACAAGGCCCCACCACCTCCTCCCAGCCCTGGAACAGTCTTCACTCGATGCATGGGACATGGCTTCAGCTCCTCTCGGTTCTCGGGACTCAGGGGCAATGACCTCAAAAGGCAGGCAGGAGAAAAGCAGCCCCCAGGGCCCTTACGTGACCACTTCCAAAGAGGAGGCCAGCCCGGAGCCCAGCCCACCTGCAGCTGCTTTCTTGGAGGAGAGGGGCTCCCTGAGAGACACATACGACTTCACCTCTTAAGGGCAATCTTCCTTTTCTATCAACCTAGTGTAGGGGAGCCCCTGGAGCCCCAGATTGCATGCTCCATTTCTTTTAAGCAGCTTCACCAAGGTCCCAGCCTTTGCCTAAGCAGAGTCATCCAAACTAGGTGGGGAAATGACAAGAACTACAAGTGGGACAAGGAATGCTGGCCTCTGAGCTTGACAATCGCTGAGAATCCCAGAGGCGGGAGCCCGACCCCACTGTGCAAATCTCCTGCTCGACACAAATGCTACAAGTGGCAGGGTGATGACAAACTGAAAACTGCCAAACTAAATAAGCAAGGTCAACAGGGGGTTGTCAAACTGCAAACAACTGGGTTAAAATTTTTTTTAAGCTAACAGTGTTTCTTATTCCAAAAGCAAAGGGTAGGGGTACCTGGATTTTTGTTTTCACAGCAAGAGGAACAATTTCTGTGTCCCTCACCCTGCAGGCTACCAGGGCTGCCTGCTTGCCACTGCACTGAGAAGGCAGAGGGGCACCGTTTCAGGGCCCACGTCCATGAACATCTAGGATGCCAACATGGCTCCCTGGCCAGCCTCCATCAGGCCCTGAATGCCACTTCTGCTCTCTGACATCACTCCTGAACACTGGGCAAAGACCCAGCATCTTCAACATGCAAAGGGAGAAAACAGAGCAGCCAAGAAAGCACGGGACCCAGCCGTGTGACTGAATCAGCAAGGACTCCCGCCCAAGGTGGGAAGGAAGCCTGGCTTCTCCCTCTGCAAGTGAGGCGGACATGCACTGCCTCACCCAGTGATGCTCAAGCAGAATAGACGTGAGCCAGTCAGGAGACCAGCTTCAGAAAGCCAAGTTTCAGAAAGACACTGAATGTGAGATAAAAGAGAGTAGATTCTCCAGGACAGCCAATCCCCTGCTGCTTCAGGCAGCCAGGCCCTTTGCTTCAGTCCTGCCCTGAGGAGGAAGCAGGTAATCCATCCTCTGGGCCCGCCTTGCCCCCGGGGCAGCCCTGCCCACATGCACAGAGTCGAACCCCAGAACAGCAGAGGGTCTTGGGACCCCAGGCCAGAAGTCCCTCTGTAACCGTAACCCCAGGCGGACTGAGGGGCTGTTGCCAGGTGCCAGCAGCAGGAAGGTAGTGGCCACGATCTCTGGCTGAGCCCGGTGCCCGGCATGGGGGTTACTACTCACAGCCATGGTAGGAAGCCGGGGACCCCCCGGCCTTGCCGTACTCCTGCTCTGAGTAGCTGGTGGACAGGTTGGGCTGGCTGGAGCCCCGGCCAAAGGTGATCTGGTTGCTGCCCATGCCGGTGGCCACCTGGGCCATGCGCTCCTTGGTCTTGAGGGCCTGGGCCCGCTCGGCCTTAAGCCGCTCCTCGTCCTTCAGCAGGGCCACTAGCTGCTTGGCCTTCTCACGCACGTTGACCCCCTGGTCCTTGCCGTCACGGTCGACGTACTGGAAGTCCTTCAGGGTCTGGATGGCGAAAATGTTCTCCCGGCACTGCTGGGCCACGCGCTCTGAGCCCGTCTTGATGAGGTAGTCAAGCAGCGTCAGGGCCTTGTACACGTGCCGCCAGTTCTTGCCGTGGTCGTTGAGCCGCTTCCACACCATGCTCATGATCTCCGAGAAGGCCACCACGTTGTAGGTCAGGTCTGCGATCTCCGTCATCAGGGAGCTGGACGGGCCCCATGGGTCATTGGAGGTGGCTTCCCGCACTTTTATCTCGGCTTCCGAGTAGTTGTTGACAATGTTTTTCATCTGCCGTCTGATGGACGAGGTCGTCATCTTTACGTTCTGTGACAAGTGCAGATCCCTTCAGAGAGAGAAACTTCCCCGTCTCCAGCAGGTTTGTGCCCCACAGAGGTTCAGTCTCTGTAACAGATCTGGAGCAGGGTCCCTGACGGTCATTTCCTCTAATGGAGCCTCAGATCTGAGAAGCCGGAAGCCATGACCTAGAGAAAGAAGTAACAAATGTTACTGTGCCTGAGTTCCCCTGAGACAGCAGGTGCTCTGCAAATGGCAGGCACTGGTCGGCCAGCCCGGGTGGTGAGAGGACATCCTCCAGCCCCCGAGGACAAAAAGAATGCCATCTTCCCTTCAAAACTAAGATAAGATCAATACTATATGTTAATAACCAATACAATTTAAACTCAAGTTTAAGCCTCTGGAAGGAAAGCAGTAACACTGTAACTCCTGGTCTATTTTCAAACCACTTCTGCTGGATCTGCTCTGCCACACCTGGCAGATGCCCGCTAGAAGACTCTCACACCACCTGCACTGGCTCCAGAGACTCTCTCTGACCCTCTTCTCCTGACTTCTTTCAGAGATGCCCAACCCCTTCGAGACCAGGGCTGAGGCCCCACTGGACTTTCAGAGCCTCCAGCATCTAGCACAAGCTATGTAGCACTGATACAACCTTACAAATAAACTGCTTCTGGCCCAGTTTTCTCATCTCAGAGAGAAGAGAACCGAGGACTTCACATTAACAGGTCCACCCAGTCCTTTGCCACAAACACATCTCTCCAGGGAAGGAACACCTGCGGAGCTGGAGTGAAGGCTATGCCTCTGGCCACAGGCCTGGTCCAGAGTGTGGAGGACACCACTTGGTTTGGCTGCCAGTGAGCACCCAGCACCGCGATATAAACGCTGCTGACACAAGTTATAAACAGTGCCCCTTCCCCAGGAAGGCATCTGGCAGGGGACAGAGGTGAGCGCAGGGACCTGAGGATGCAAGTCCAGGGCAACTCGACTGTGGCGGTGGGCCACAGAAAGGGGCGAGGAAAGCACTCCCTGCAGAGCTAGCCCTCGGGGGGAGGTCTTCAGAGGAGGAGAGGGGGCAGGCGGGGATTGAAAGGGAAGCGGTGCCAGGTGACTCCTCTCCTACAGAATGGGGAGGGGGCCCAGGACCCGCAGCTCCCCACCCTCACCCCACACCCAGCTGCCACTGGGCTTCTGGCCTGGGAAAGAGCTGGGTGGCCGTGGGCCAGGCTGTCTCACTGTATGCTCACAAAAAGCCTTGCTTCTGGGTAAGGATCACCCCTCCCCTGGTGCAGATGGAGAGCCTTCCTTCTCGGTCATGAGGTCAGCTGACCAAGGCTCCCTGGTGAGGACTCTCTCCCTCCTCCCACAGGGGCCCTCACTCTGCTGCTTCTGCCAGAGGAACAATGGGTGGGCGGCCTCCACCAGCTTCATTCCGGCTTCAGAAATAAGTAATCAGCAAGTGTCAGGAGTGGGGAAGCCACAGGAAATGCCCACTCCTCACATGCAGCCAAATAAGAGAAGCTCATAACCGTCATCCTGGTGACAATTAGACATCTGCTTGGTGAGCAAGGCCTCTCCACCCTCAGACAGGTGAAGAATTCTGTCTTCATCTGCAGATGCAGGGCTTCAGCAGAATGGGACTCAGCTGAAGGTGGGCAGAGTGAATTCCACTGCCCCGCCGGCTCTTACAAACCTTGTACAGTGTGTGCGAGGAGCAGGGCCAGATGCTCTGTGGGGACCTGCATGTGTGACATGACCAGGCTGGTCATCCATGGCCGCCAGACAGGATGGGCCTCAGACGAGGCCTCCCGAGCAGTTCTGGCTCTCAGAGTAAACGCTCCAGCGCCACTGGTCACACTCGAGGTCCCAAAGCCCCAGGGTCGCCCAGCATTTTGTCTGTCACCCACCTGGGGCTCGGCAGGCTCCCCTACCCTGCACTTCACAGCTGCAGAAGCCATCACAGCCACGTGTAACCTGAAGCACACGTGCCCTGTCCCAGGCAACAGTCCATCCACACACACAAAGCCTGAAGGACAGGCCCTTAGCCACAGCTGAGCCATGGCCCAGTACGACCAAGGAGCTGCGTCCCTTGGCCCCAACATGCAGGCAGCCCAGCCAGAGTCTCGGATCATGACTCTTACTCAAAAGCAGCCTATAATGGTGACCATAAAGTAACAGCTGGATCACATTTGCCAAAGACGAGCTGGGGCAGAAAAATTCTGGCATATTTGAAAACACAACCAGAATTCCACTGACAGTGGAGACTACAAATAGATTGAATAAAACAGCAAACAGAACAACACTAAAAAAACAAACAAAAAATTCCAAGGCTAGAGCAATGCCCCTGGAGGCAAGAAGAATTCCATAAAAATGTGTTCAAGAGCCTGCAGAGTTGGGTGGGGAAATTCCTTCCAAATCCAGAGTCCCAGATGAAGAAGGAAGCAGCCCTCCTGGCTCCAGACCCCAGGTGGGCCCTGGTCAAAGCCCACGTGAGTCCTGGTCATCCTTTCTGTGACAGGGACGTGACTGGCCAGGTGTCAAGAAGATGCTGATGGTTGGGGTCTCCACCAAACCCCCATTTGGGGGGCTTTTCAGGGGTCGGGGATCATTATCAGGGACCCAGACCAGCTATGAGGGAATGGCAGCAAACGTCTCTCCCCTCCCCAAACCTAACAGGATCCACAGGTGGCAGCTCCTGCTCTGCGTCTGGCAGCCTTCTGTGACTTTCTACAGGCAGGCGACACCTGCAGGGAAGCTGAGGGCCATCTGCCTCACTCACCGAAGGTAGCATCCGTGTCCCAGGACTCCTCGGTGGGCAGAGAAATCAAATCTTATATCTCTACCCCAAAAGTGGTCTTCAAGAAAACTCTGCATTCATATATGTGAAGAATTTCAAAAACAAACATCTGAGCCTCTTAACTTTGAGATGTAAAGCAGGTACAGTGACAGCACCCGCAGTGCAGGAAGAACCCCAGGTGCCAGTTAACTGGCTTCAGGGGGACTGACCGTCCCCCCAATGCCGGATGACCCCTGCCCCCTCAAAAAGAGCCACCTGGGGGCTTCTCCCAAGACAGGACAGTCTTGGAACAAGCACAGGAAAATTCAAATTCGATGTCACAGACTCCAATGACCACGTTAGTGATTTTTCTAAAAGCAGAAATCAAGCACTGAAAACACGTGAGGAATCCCGCTTTTCTTTACCAGTGTGGCAGATCGTTCAGTCTCTAGGAAGAGCAGTTGGGCTGCAGGTTACACGGGGGTTGAAGTGCAGTCATTCTGAAAGATGGTGTGAAACAAGGACCAGGCTCAGGAGACATGGTTCTGGCCATCCGACAACACAGTCACTTAGAAATGGTGGTGTGGCAAGCAGCACCTCCCGGAGAGAAGCGAGGACCAAACACTGGTGCCTGGACTAGTGGATGCATGAGCATGCCTCCGAGGACAGAAAATTCCTCAATGTTCCCCTCCACTACTCCTCCAAGTAGTTTTGCTAATGACCAACCCGGGACAACATTCTTAAAACAACCCTGCCAGAAACCAGACAGCACACAGAACCAAGGGCTTGGAAAGCAGAGCTCGGGGCTGGGCCAGGCCCAGCCTCCCGCTCCTGGATGGCAGGGTAAACTGGATATCCAGCCTAGCCTCCCGTCCCAAGGCCCCTTTCTGACAAGGGCTCAACTCCTGTGAGCTCCAGGGTGTCACAGGAGCTCCCACCTCAGACCAGCCCCAGGTCAGCCACCATGAGGCTAGAGTTCTGGCGACAAGCCTAGTGGTGGATGTTTCTCTTGGCCTGTGGGGCTTCCCAGGTCTGTGGAGTGAGAAAAGCAGCCCCCGAACTCAGCCCCCCTCCAAGAAAGGAGCTTGTGACCCCTGGGCCAGAGTCTCCATTCTAACACGCTGAGTGACTCTACCACCAGAGAGAGACCCCCCCTGATGGCCAGTGGCCACACCACCCAGAGACTGGGGCACAGAAAGGGGCATCTGATGGCTTCACACCCACCCACACCCAGGGCAGGCCCACGATGGGGTTGATCAGAAGTTTCCAGCTTGAGACACTCGGGGAAAAGAACAGAGCTACATGGGAAAATGTAGAATTCCCAGGGTTTCATGCTTAATTTAGACCTGGCTGGTCACTGTGGTGGCGATGAGTGCTGGGCTGTGAACACGTCCTAAGGAGCCAGCAAGAGAGGGGAAGCCAGGGGGTGGGGGGGGGGGGGTGCGCGGCTGTGGACCACACAGGCTTGGTTTCAGGCACAGCAGTCACCCGACACTGCTCTCTCAGGAGCTCAAGATGCTGCCCAGAGGAAGCCCGCGGGTGAGGACAGGCACCTCCAGGCAGTGTCCGGCCTTGCACAAGGGGCTCCCATGGGCTTCCGGGAGTGTGGCTGAGGTCCTTGCAGCCCACCCCAGGCAGTGCGGGGGGCACCAGAGCCCAGAAGACAGCGCACCCAGCAGGTGAGCTCCTCCGGGGCCAGCATGGGTGCACCCTCCGCCCCCTGGCACTCTCCCCGTCCCAGGCATGGCCTGCTCCCCTGCCCGCGGCCTCCCCCTGGCACTGCCCACTGGCTCTTTCCTGTCAGTTGAGATCTGGGGACCACGGTCACTCTCTCAAGTCACCAGCTCCCACTGTGGGCAGATCCTCTCCATGTGGGATACGTTCCTGCTCATCCCAGTTGCTGCGTCCCCATCTTCACCATGTGTCCTCAGCACAGGCTGCTCTGACGTGGGCTGAGCGAGCGGGCACAGAGGGAAACTGAACAAGGCAGACAGCACCCTACCCCCCTCCACTCCTCAGACACGGGGCTCACACTGGGCTAGTCCCCCAGCAGTCTCCCTCAGGGTCTCTGTTGCTGAGGTCAGAACAGCCACTCTGCCCAGTGAACATATAAAACCACTCCACGTGGCTAAGAGTTCACAACAAAGGACCTGAGGGCAGGGGTGAACCATGTCAGCCAGTAGTACCCAGGCAGTCCCACGGGCAGCAGAGCCCTGCCTCCCTACCAGCCTGGGCTCAGGAGCAGACCAGGTGATGAGATGGGGCAGCCGCTGCTCGGCGCTGAGGGACATGGGTCCAGACACCTGCGTCCTCCCAGAGTGTGCCCCTGAGGATGTTTCTCAGCAGCACCCCGAGGGCAGCCTGGGGACACGGTCCAGGGTAGGGGACACGGCTATAGAAGCAGCAGGGCCTGGGCAGAACACGCTGGGCAGAAGGCACCTCCTGGTCAGGCAGGTGGGATCGTCCACAAGCCCCTTCCTGACCGTCATGCCCGGGCTCAGGCCCAGTCCTCTCCTGTGTGGCTGGCATTTCCAACAAGGCCTCAGATGTGCTAACTCTCTGATGCCAACAGTCACCCGAACAGAACAGGCTCAGAATAGAAACTGAAAATAGCACAGGCTCTCTCAACAGACGCTGGAGAATCCTAACAGCCCTGACTGCATGCCAGAGCGTCTGCTCGCTGAACCTCAGTAAGAATTCGCAGGTGAGGAAGTCGGGCACAGAGAGGGTAAGAAACTGGCCTGAGCCACATGCCAGCACGTGGCAGGACCAGGACTTGCTCCCAGATGTCTGGCTTCTGGTCCTATCCTCTTCATCTCGTCTAACTGTTTGGCTTCAGACAAACCCCAAACTATCATGAGAGTAGTGAATCCTTCCTTGCTGAATCCAGAGGCTTCGAAGGCCCCTCCTGTCAGGTGCTAAACAGGCAGAGAGACAGCACAGAAATAACCACCCTCCTACCCCTGCTCAGCCCGTCTCCAGCTCAGCAAGCCAAGCGGGCAGGAACCCAGATGCTGGAGCTAAAGGGCCAGCCCCTGCCTGCGTGCGGACGTGAGGCCCAGGCGGTGTGGTGCTGTCCTGGGACAGGCCCCTGGCGTTCCCAGCACCTTCCAACATGGCCCACCAAGGAGGGGCCTTTAAGGTTCTTCCCAGAAAGCACTGCCCTGGAAAGCGTCAGGCCCCCCAGAGAGGAACATGAGGAAAGCTGGCGGGTGGAAGGAAGCCTGCGCATCAGAGACTCCAAGACGACGTAAACATCAGCCCATCAGAACTCACACATTAAGAAACGGGACCTCTTCAGTGACTGCTGCGTCTTCTGCTGAAGCAGCCACATGGGCTGGAACAACCCGAGAGCTCTGATTACTCCTTTAAGAACAGCCGTCGTCTGAAGTACCACCAGGAAAAAACCAGTCTCAGTGCCGAAAGGTAAACTTCCTCTTTTGGTTCAGAATAAAAATACGACTTCCCTCCTCCTCCTCTGCTGGAGATGTTCCCAGGATTTTATTTACTCTGCACCGCTGACTGGACTCTCAAATGTCAGCGTCAGCCCAGAGAAGGTCTTCCAGCCACCACTCTGTCCTCTTATATTTTTATGATGTATGTGCTTCTGGGCACACACAAGAGCACACACCAGCCACATGCAGGCACAGACAACATGCCCCTGTCACCCAGACCCCTTCCCCACCCCACCCCCGCAAAGAGCTCGGGTTCTGAGCTCCGCGGTCCCATGGTTTTTAAGAAAGAAGATGATGGTCTCACCATGGACATCGTCCAACCACCACAGTCTGCCCTGGCATCGATACTGGGGCTCTGAGACTTGTCCACGCTGCTGCGTGTTCCTGCCATGTGATAGCGCCTGTGGTCACGTGTAGCGACACACACCCCCTCTCCTGTCTGAGGACACCTGGGCCCCACTTCACGTTCCTGCCATCGTAAACAGTGCTGGTGTGTGCACATAAGTCCCCAAGACTCATGCACCAAGGCCTCTAGACCCTGCTCCAGGAGCAGAGCTATTGCTCTGCAGGGCACATAGCGACGTCTGCACGGCATTTTACAAACTTTCTTGCTGTTCTCTCTTATAACGTCATTTCCTCATCACAGCGCAGGCAGACGTACAGTTTAGCCGATACTTTTCACACACTGGGCACACAAGGAATGATGCCCATGGGGAAGCCCAGGACGCAGCCCCCGCCCCCGTCTGGGTCGGGACAGCCGGCGGGACAACTGTGCACCTGGGGCAGAGCTGCGGAAGGATGGGGGCAGAGGGGAGCCGTGGGCATGAGTGGAAGAGGTGGCGAGGCGGGGGGCAGGTCTGGGGGCCTCACGCACTGAGGAATCTGGACCTGCCAATTCGTTACTCCCCTTCCAGGTCTCTGTCAAACCCTCCAAGTAAGAGTCATACGGTTAACACTCACAGGGCACTTCTGACGTTCCAGGCGCTGTGTTAGGAATCCTCCTCTTTAATTTGTAATATAAACTGCATTATTGTATGCTTAATATTTTTCTTCAAATCAATCTACTTTGTTTTTGGCCACACTCAGCTTGTGAGATCTTAGTTCCTGACCAGGGACTGAGCCAGGGCCATGGCAGTGGAAGCACAGAGTCCTAACCACTGGACAACCAGGGAAGTCCCTAAATCAGTTTACTTCTAAATTCAAATACTTGCATTAAGTAATCACACACATGAAATCAGGTATCATGCTATGGCATTTGGGCAGAGGAGGTCTTTCTATTTGTTTTTACTAAGACGAAATTCGCCATTTTAAAGTAGGCAATTCACACTCACAACTTGGGATCCTCACAGTGTTGGATGGGCTTCCCAGGTGGCACTAGTCGTAAAGAACCTGCCTACCAATGCAGGACACATAAGAGATGTGGGCTCAATCCCTGAGTTGGGAAGATCCCCTGGAGGCGGGCATGGCAACCCCCTCCGGTATTCTTGCCTGGAGAATCCCATGGACAGGGGAGCCTGGCAGACTACAGTCCGTGGGGTCACAAAGAGTCAGACACGACTCAGTGACTTAGCATACATGCACAGTGTTGGGTAACAGTCACTGCAGTGGACGTTTTCATCCCCCAGAAGACTCTGCTCATTGGCCATCACTACCCACTCCTCCTCTCACCAGCCCCCAGCAACGTTTTCATCTCCCGGGAGGCCCTGCTCATCAGCCATCACTACCCACTCCTCTTCTCACCAGCCCCCAGCAAGCTGCCTCCTGTCTCTGTGGACTCACCTACTCTGGACATTTCACACAAAACCACACAGTATGTTCCTTTTATGTCTGGCTGCTTTCACTCAGAGTATTCTAAAGGTTTGTTTATACTGCATTATCAGTACCTCATTCCTTTATGTGGTAATTTCCTCTCATAAGGACAGACCACATTGATTTACCCACTGATCAGCCAGACACCTGGACTGTTTCCATGTCTTGGCCTTTATGCACAATGCTGCTGTGAACTCTGCATATGAGTCTGTATGTGGATGTATGTGCTCAGCTCACCTGGGCAGGTGCTGAGGAAGAGGGCTGCTGGGTCACATGGGAGCTCTCGGTTTAACTTTCTAAGGAACCAGCAAAGGTACCGTGGCATTCTGACGATAAAAAACTCTTTAAGGCGAGTAACATTCAACGGCTTCCACTTAACATTATTTTAAGAAACACTGCTGCAGCCGAAGCTACTGGAGTGGGTGTGCATGTCTGGGGGCAGAGAACAGCGCAGTGGAGGCGGGGCTCCTGCAGTCCTGATGAAGTCACAGCAGGTGGATTGGGGGTGGGGTGGGGAGGGAAGAGCAGGAAGCAGGCAGATGCCCATACCACAGTGCCTGGCTGCCAGCGGAATGGCAGGGGCACAGTATGTCAAGGTGGGGAAGGTGTGCCCACTTCAGAAGAAGGAAGGAGGCCGTATAACAATGAAGACAATGAAGCTGGAGGTGCTGGCAGGACCAGCACAGAGAACAGACACAGCCGGGGCAGCTGTGCCAAGGGCTGGGGTGAGCGCTGGGGGAGCCCAGGAGAGCAGGCAGGGGGCACAAGTCAGAAGGGGGTGAGTGGCCATCAGTGACGTCCAAGAAGGGCCAGGAGAGAGGTGGAGACACAGGAGAACCATCCTGTGGTGCAGGGGAGGGGAGCTGAGGGGATTTGGGGCATGATGCCAACCAACAGGAATGAAGAGCCCAGAGGAGGCAGCAGGAGGCAAGCCTCAGGCTGGGAGGGCTGTACCTTCTCTGCCTGGTTATACCAACAAACAGCTCCAACACCCAGTGGGGCCCTCAGCCCTCCAGACCTGCTGCACGAGGCTGGCCTCTGTGGCACAGCTCCGAGACCATCACTGCCCCCCCACCTCCAGCCAGCCTTGCAGAGCACCCCCCCACCTGCTGCGGCTGCCCTGCAGGCCACCTGCGCTTCCGGCCTCCCCCGTCTCTCCCCACTTCCTCCCACGGCCTCTGGACAGAGGCCCCGACTGTCTGCACACTGGGGCTGCCTCACAGGGCCTGGCGCGGAGCCGGGCACACAGCTGCCCCGGGAAGGAGTGACTCAACCCCACCTGCTCCCACGCTGCCCCAGCCTTGGCTGCTCCCCACACTCTCATCCGATGCCCGGGTCCAGGGCCCCCAACGTCTCATGGGGTATGGAAACATGGGCTGTGATGCTGCTGGGGGTTAAAAATTACCACTAGTTGGAGTGGAGAGAGAGCTGCCCCCACACCATGTTTTCGTCACCTCACTAATCTGTTTCCTCCTCAGAAAAATGGCGGCAGCAGCCTTGGAAGCCGACAGATGACCCCATGAAGGATCTGAGTGGATGGAGGGGAGACCCTTCACTTCTGCGGGGCCCACAGCTGCTCGCAGGCCTTTGCTGCACCCTCTTCGGTCCTGCTGGGCACCTCCCCCACCCAGGAGAAAAGCAGGACTGGAGAGGCCCATGTCTAGCAAGGCGGCACTGAGTCAATTTCAGACTAAAGTTAACAAGCAGAAACAAACCGCGGCTGGCATACCATGTAATTTTTTTAATTCTTAAAAGATTAGAAGTATGCTGCTGAATGTCAAAACACAAAAACCAAAAAAGAAGTTAAAGTTATTATTTTCCTTTTGGCTTTATCTCCATTAGCAAATACTTCTCTTCAAACAACGTTTACGTTGCCTTTGTCCTACTTTGTTGAGGAAAATAATAAACGAGTGAGTTTCCAGCACGGATGACAGTGCACACAGAGATCTGCCCAGAAAACACTCCACTTTGGAGAAAGAAGTGTTTCCCTGCCTCACTGGCCACCAGCCTCCTGCTCCCTCGGTCAGCCCGGGGACGACCAGGGGGAGGACCAGGCCCTTCGGCACACCTGTGCTTCACAGGAAGACAACCAAACCTGGGGAGGCCAGCCCGCTCACTCACTGACCGC